CCTATTTACCCTACCACTAGCAACAGTACACTGCTTGGATGGCTTCAGAGTCTGAAAGGAGGGATTGACGTGGTTGATGAAATGTGGTTAGCTCCTGATAATATGCGACTCCTATCAGTCGCTTGACTTGTAGAAGTAACTTTGCCCTGAAACGTGAGCACATGTACAGTAGATAAACATTTTGAAATACTTTTGTCACCAGAAATAAAAAGAGCAAATTCAAATACAGATATGTCTCTTGATCTTATAAAAGTGGGCTCAAGTTTAAATCTTATCTTTAATGAGAAAACTGTCAACATTATATTCAGATACCGCCACACCTGTTCTGTCAATTAGTTGTCTACCTAACCCTAATTGACTGTCGGAAGCCAGCTGTTGCTGCATTAATAATGACAACCCTTTTTTTTATTTCTTAAATTTATTTTTAAATCTGAAATAGTTTCCAAAAACAGATTATTTAAAAATTAATTATCAAATTGTAGGTGAATTTTCTAATGTTTTATGATATCAGAAATTCTGTAATCTTCGAAGATAAGCTTAACGATTCCACAGGATTTTGTTTTCAGTGTTGTATTCAGGACTGCTTTATTTAAAAGTCTCATTAAACTTGTTTTCTTAAAATCTAGGTGAACATTTTACACCAGAGTTTACCAAAATAAACCCCTTAAAACGTGTGCCTGTAATCGACCACAATGGATTTCATCTTACAGAGAGGTAAATATGGTATTATATTAATAAGTAGAAAAATGAGAAGGTGATCAAATAAAGAAATTATATTTTTGGAGATAAATAAACCATGTTTATTTTCTTGGCAACATTTCAAGCAAAATCCTTTTTTTTTTTTCAAGCCAGAAACTAGCCTGTCAGTTAATGATGTGTACAAAAATGTTCTTGTTTCTGGCTTGAAAAAAAATAAAAATAAATATTATATAGACAAGTTCAGTGTCAACAAATTAAAATCATAACTATGCTATACTTAGTCACTGATAAGTTGTGAATACATGTTCCCATACCTTCTCTTTATTTCTAAGTTCATAATATTTTTCTATACAATTTATCCCAAAATTTGTGTATAGCAATAAATGATCACCAATAACTTTCTGAAATTTAAAACATTAGTTCAGTTAAACAGAAGTTTTCTGATATAAATATACAGGGAAGAAGTCGTTTTCATTATCTGAGTGGCTTTCTAAGTTAAAAAAAAAAAAGTAAATTATAGGTTTCATACTTTCTTGAAATAACAAAGATTTGGTATAAAAACAAATATTATACTATAATATATATATAAGTGCTTGCTCTGTAACTACTTAACAAGAATAACTCCATAAATATAAAATAAGAAACACATAAACTTTCTTTTATGTTAATTTAATTACTTCATTAATCAATCACTAATTAGATCAAAATTATAAGTAACAAAAACTTTGCATAAAAATTCAACACCCTATAATCTGATTTCTTGAACCTAAATGTGTTCCTAACATCACGAAACAAAACATTAAGAACTAAGTTTACCAATGGTTGATGCAGATAACATTTAATACAGGGAGAATCGTTATAATTGTAGCTGTAGAATCGTTGAGGCTAAGTTAGTCAGTGAAGTCTCACTCTCAAAACATTCCCCCAGATGTATAATTTTGTTAACAAGATGTTGAAATGGATATTTATTTTAGCAATGAGAATGGCATGCCCCTCTATTCCCCCTCAGTTTGAACAATGATGTATTTTTTCAAAATTTGATCAACATTTTTTTTAAATTGATCAAATAACCATTGGTTTATTACCAAATTAAACAAAAATCAAACAACAAAGAAAATTGTTAAACTTTTAAATCTTAAACAGTACAGTTATGTTCGGTATGGTTTGTACCATTATTATTAGTAGTATATTTAAATATTAAACATTATAGTTATGTTCAGTATGGTTTTTAGCATTATTATTAGTAGTATATTTAAATATTAAACATTAGAGTTATGTTCGGTATGGTTTGTACCATTATTATTATCAGTATATTTAAATATTAAACATTATAGTTATGTTCGGTATGGTTTGTACCATTATTATTAGTAGTATATTTAAATATTAAACATCATAGTTATGTTCAGTATGTTTTGTACCATTATTATTGTTATTCACTTCTATTTACAGTGTTGCTATACTGAAGTACTTGTCTCGAGAATTTTGTACACCTGACCACTGGTACCCCCAAGATAGTAAGCTCCGGGCTCGAGTGGATGAATTTTTAGCTTGGCAGCATCTGAACCTTAGACTGAATGGTTCTATGGTCTTCCGAACTAAGGCGTGTAATTTTTTTTTTGCTACTTTCTGAGAACCACTGTTTAACATTATAATAATGGTAACAAAACTAGATACAACTTATTATGTTTTTATTCAATCAGCAAACCAGGTTAACAGTTCATTTCATACAGTTTTATTTTGTGTGTGTACAGTACAGTTCATATCCACCCAACCATGTGATATTCATTGTTCATTAACACCTATAAGTGAAATAAAACAATTTTCTGTTTTTAGACATTTTACTGTGCTCATGATTATGGTTTTATGAACTTTACAGATGTGTGAAAACACTTATACAGACTTTTTATACAACAAAGTCTGATTAACCATTATAAAAACATGATAGTATCCATTGAGAGTTTATTACTGATCAAACGTTATAAAAACAAGACAATATCCATTGAGAGTTTATTACTGATCAAACGTTATAAAAACAAGACAATATCCATTGAGAGTTTATTACTGATCAAACA